CCAGATAGCTAAACATCGTCCAACAGTGCTGCTAACTTTTTTATCTAAGAAATTTTAACTTTTTAATCATGTATTAATAACTACTTTGTACCTAATTCAAGTCTTTTGCGTATATATCTCCTTGTCTGTTCCCAGAAGTTGAAATTGTAATTGTTTTTATTATTTGTAAATGTATTCATACAGAATTTGCACATGCAATAGACGTAGAACTGAATAATCTGGGAATCCCTTCCCATCTTTCTTTTAAACATAATTTATTTCATAAATATAAAGTCTAAGATTACAAGAAGTACAATATGGACGGTAATGGATTAAAACCGAAAACCAATAGCTTGTAATGTTTTTCACCATCGTCTATAATAAAACATTGTAAATATAATTGAATATATGGCCTATGATATTAAGTTTTAATAACAAAAGAAGTTTGATTATTAAATGGTTAAAGTGAAGTGTCTCTTCCTTAAACACTAGTATTTATCTAAGTATTAGTAAAAACACTGGAGTGGACAACAAAAGAGAACGTGAATGACGAGGAAAAAGGAAAAAAATATAAAGGAGACATTTTCAATTAAGATATAAAAAACCTGTTTATAAAGTTGACAAAATCGGAGGAAAGATATGGGAATAAAACAAAAATGAAAGAAGAAAAGAGAGAATAAAAGTGAACAGTACTTTCTTCTAGAGCCAACTGTTGCGAAAGCGATGGTGAATCGTTCGGAAAATATAGGGTGAATTACTGTTTACTGCTGCTCGTGTTCCTCAGAAGTGCATGCGTGATAGCAATACGTGTGCTTAAATAAAACCTTTCTGAGGTTTGAATGCATATATCATCAACATGTAAAATACGAATGTTTGCTTGGTTTTTGTTTTACCAAATTGTTGCAAGTCATAGACAATTAAAGAACATTTTGAAAATGGTGCTGGCATGCTTAAACTTAAACAAAAATGATGATATAGAAAGAACATGGATAGAACTGTGGCAAGTGCTTGGTTTGCGTAATTATTAGATGTTGTGCTAAAGAGATAAACTTATTTTGGACCTCTATGGCTGGACAGCGATATAAATAACTCGAGCTATAATATGAGTATGGGATATTTATACACCTTAAATAATGATACAAAGTAACAGTAGCCTTCCAAGACTAAATGGTCGTACTGTGAATATGTAGACTGAAGTTGACTTTTTAATAATAATACTTCTGAAGGTCTCTATAATGTTTTAGTTATGAGTGTGACCTGTTAAGATCCCATTGATGTATAATCAGGCATACTAGTGGAATTTATAAGTCATTTAATTTTGAAATGCAATAATCAAATTGGACTTCCTTTTTCAAACACGACAAAAAAACATATTAATGTTTTGTCTAAGTGTGACTTCAATTACTATAGTATAAGTGAAGGCATAACTTTTATATAGGGCTAAAAAGACATGGATCAAGTACACACCAATTGAGAAGTGGAGAATAACCTCGTATTAACTTCATTTCAAAAACTTCCTGGTACATTTATATATGTATTTCTTTTCAAAAACTTCCTGGTACAATTATACATCAGTCCAAAATTACAAACCATGCTTCATATGTATTGTGTTGTCCAGGTTTTTATGTTTTGGATACAGGAGAACATCCTGGTGTGGATAATGATTACGTCAAACATCTCAGATGACTTCGATATATGCATGCGTTTGTCAAGTCTCAAATACTAGCAACACGCACGATTAATTGTCCTCTGGTTGAAAGACTAATCAACTGTAAATACCGCCCTTTGGTTTTGAAAACATAAGCTGAATAATAAGAAAACCATAACTGTTAATTTTTTTGGGGGGGTTGTACCAAAACAAAAAGAAATATAAATAGCATAGCCACACGTACATTGTTGATTTTACGAACAGTCCCTCCCCACCCCCCTTCCTCTCTCTCTCTCTCTCTCTCTCTCTCTCTCTCTCTCTCTCTCTCTCTCTCTCTCTCTCTCTCTCTCTCTCTCTCTCTCTCTCTCTCTCTCTCTCTCTCTCTCTCTCTCTCTCTCGGTTGGTCAGCAAGAATGTCACTGGTACCCCAATAAATCCATATCCCATTCGATCTATCTCTACTTATTTGTACCATGCTGTCCTAGGGAAATAAATTATTTTGTTAAATTTTACAAAGCTTGTTGTCTTTACTGTTTATGTTAATTTTGTACGAGCCTAGACACGTAACACAGTAACGCATATGTTTTCATTATTTTTACAAGTGGCGAACTTAAGTTTTTCAGCCACGAAACGTCTTGTCTAGCGGAATGTATAACAGATTGAAGTAGCAGATTTCTTACTGGATCACGTGGGATGTCAGATGTTGACCATTTATCTCCTGATGAGTTTTGTTATTATTCGTACAGAAAATGTTAACTGTAAGATGATTCTCCTTCACAATTCATAAAATTAGCACGTTAAGGAAAAAGAGAATTTGCACCTTGTTGCAGCTGAACTTGGTTCGTCTTTAATATAAAGCCGTCATACTTGTATAGCAAGCCTCTAAGAATAACTTTAAATTTCTTGTTGATAATTTATATCGGTGTCTGTCGACAGACATAACAAATACGATATTATACCACTCCGTGGAATTAACAAGACTATTTCCTCAGTAAATTTTAGGGGCCCCGAGTGGCCGAGTGGTCTAAAGCGCTGTCCGTTACGGATCACTGCCATCTCACCTCTGTTTGCGTGAGTTCGAGTCTAAGATTCGGCGAATGTGGATATGTGAGAAAGCTTGCCATTAGCTTCTCGTGGGTCGGTGGTTCTTTCCGCGGATTTCCCTGTTTCTTCCTCCATCAATAATACTGGCCACCATGAATAGCCTATCGTGTGCTGAAAAATGGCGTTAAGCATAACAAGAACAACAATCCTCAGTAAATCAAGTATATAACGGCCTAGCAGAAAATCCAAATCTATATCGAATAAAAAAAAATTATAGCAAAAATAACATTCATTAGTAAACTAAGAATCACTCATTTTATTTACCTCTTCATCTCTCCCGTAATCCAGCCGATCGTAGGGGATCCACTGATAACTTTGCGACAATCTCTCTCCATTTTTCTTGTTCTCCTCTACTAACTGGGACTTGCATAGTCCATGCCTGTCCACTCTTTGATGTTATTTCCCATCTTTCTTCTGTCTGTCCCGTTTTCTCTTTCTTCTCACTGTGAGCAGTAGGATTGTCTTTGACAAGCTAAATGAGTGCGAGACGTGACCATCTTAATTTGCGTTTCTTTACAGTGGATAGCAGAGCTTCATATGGTCCAATTGTACTTGAATTCTTAAGTTCATCTCCTCCTTAAAGACGTGGTCTAAGTATGAGATTTTCAGGATCCATCGATGACATTCATGGATCTTTTATTTTTTTTGAAGTTCAAACCTGATCCTAACCTATCATGGCTTCGTGATCTTCCTCAGACGAAGTTTGATAGTCATCATCAGCAACTATGGTCACTTCATATTTCAGCTCATTGGAAGCTACGTGTTTTGGCAGTGCCGACGCTAGACGGATGCGTTTCCTCACCAAGATCTAGTCAGTATGATTGCGATGTTTACAGTTAGAAGAATGGAAAGTTCATCTTCTAAATGGTTTGTGGGGGATCAATAGGTTATTGTAGGTGGAAATGTCTAGCAGACACTCTCATTGGTATGTTCATTACAGCATGGACCATAGACTTTTAACCAGTCTCCTACTTTGGCATATTCCTGTCTTTTGAATACTAGAATGTCCTTATTGGGTGTCTGGTCAATGAGAGTTTGAAGCTGGTCGTAGCAACCATATCTTTGCATTAATGATTAGATGCTAGGGCATAAACTTGTGTGATTTTGATGTTGAAAGGATATGCCCTGAATCGGATTTTAATCATCCTGTTAGACACTGGTCTGCACACACAGTGTCCTTGTATGCAATAAATCCGACTCCATGCCCATACTTACCCTCATGTCCACTGAAGTAAATCCTGTGTCCATCATCTGTTGATCTCACTCCAAAATTCTTGCAGCGCATCCAGCAAACAAATTGAGATCATTTAAATTATTTATGTTTATCCGACAAAAGAAACAGACACAAAAGACAATGGTTTTCTAGAGGTGGTTAAAGATTGTATTCATTTCTCTAAAACTTGTGTAAATCCGACAATTTACTCTCTTATCGATAGATATTTCATATCACCAAGACAGTCTCATCGAGTCACAGCATTTTCTCTTATAAACCATCATATCAACCAAAATGTCTGGCAAATGTTTAAGACTGTGAAACACCTGCAATAAAATTATTTGCAACTTTGCGTTATAAAGGTCGTTGTTATCAGATATGGGGAATTTTGATAAACAGGACAAATCTGTACCGCTTTATTCCTTTCTGCATGGTCTCATTTTCAATTCATCTAGGAAACAACCAATCATTTGCAATGTCGGTAATTTTCAATATCACCAATATCTAAATGGATTAAAAGCAGGTCATGTGCACTTCCGGAACGACTCCTTGACCATCCTATGTAGTGCTTTATCTATCAGTCTAGCGACGAAGATGGCCGTTTTCCACAGTTGCTCAGTACGCAAACAATTGACTTCGATAATTGTTTGAGCCATCAAACAGAAATATTTATGAGGAAAGATCCATGTCTTCAATGCATACATTTGTTCTTCTCCAGTGGTTCCCAACCTTTCTAGTACGCAGATCCCTTTTCAAACTTAAATATTTCGATGATTCCAACATGCAATTGGTGTAGTTTTAGCGCGCGCGCGCGTGTGTGTGTATGTGTGTTTCTTAATGTAGTTTCACCAATCTTTTCAGTCATATCGCTACGATGTCTGCAGTGTGTCAGTTTATAGTAATGTCTAACACTGGGGCATCATGCCGCAGATATGTAGCATGACGTTTTACTGAGTCACATTATACTGACACCAGACCGACCAGTCAAAACACTAACCTTATAATACTGAGCACCAAGCGAGGCAGCAGCTAATACCATTTTATGAGTCTTTTGTATGACTCGGTCAGATATCGAACCCGCAACCTCCCGGATCAGAGGTGGACGCTTTAACCACTAGGCTACCGGAGCGGTCATTGTACTATTAGGCTCCGAAGCTATGCGAAAACTATCAAAATTTGCGGACCCCATGGATTGATCCAGCGCACCCCAACCCCTTCACGGAGAGGGGTATGGTCAGCTGCCAACAAGTTGGGAACCACTGGTCTACGATATCCAGGAATGTTTTCCAACGTCAGGCTAGAAAATATGATTGGAAAAATATAACATCCGCATGGAAGCAGCGTTCTAAAAAAATCTTAAATGACTACCAATATGTGTAGCTTGTTAAGCAGAGTTGAAAGTAATCGTGCGCATTGTGCGCAACGTATTATATATATATATATATATATATATATATATATATATATATATATATATATATATATATATATATATATATATATAGTGTGTGTGTGTGTATGTGTGTGTTTTTTAAGTGCGCAGCACAATAGTCTTCACAAATCTGAATTTAATAGCACATCAAGTAAACGTACCCCTACAACTCGAATGTGACGGTCAGAGGTTGCCATAGCGTAAATTTGATTGGGTATGTAAACCTGTGTTCAAGCAGGTATTTATTTGTTCCAGGTAAATTGTATCATGTTATTGAAGGGCAAGGGAGTGGAAACATCGTGTTGATAATATTTATTCTCGGATAACATATAAAATGTTGGAGTTTTACTTTATTATAGGTTCTACGCTTTTTCTTGAAGGTAGGTATGAAAAGTAAGCGTGTGTGTGCATGTGTGTGTGTGCCTTACTTTTGTACAAAGGCATTTACATCAGAGGATATATGGACACCTATTTTCCATTTTTAAATTTATGAATGCCCTTACGGAAGCCTCAGAGCTGTATTATGACACCGTCAGTATCAGCCAAATATATACACACCCACACGCGCGTGCAATTTTGAATTCTGGTGAAAGCTGAATAGAAAGACAATAGCTAAGGTAGGAAATACATATTGATATGTACATCAAATAAACACAGCAGACAAACACAATTGACTAAAGAAGATATGTTTATAATTGTTAAGTGGACACGAAATTAATTTACCCCAACCCACTCCAGTAAATTTTGTGTATCTATTTCAATATACCTTACCAGCTATGGACTTCCAAATCTAATTTTCCATAGTACTATTTTCTATTTCAATTTAATCCTTTTAATTTTTACTTTGCTCAAGTTTTGCATTTTTCACTAATTTAAGTTTCTTTGCATCCAAATATGACCATGTCGGTTCATTTTTAAAATTTAGGCACTACGTTAGAAAGCATTACAGGTACCTTTACACATTATTGATACTAGATTAGATATTTAACGCGCATGCCTATAGACGATAAAAATGACGGTCAGTGTCCTTGACTTAAAAGTGAACTGTTAGTGCGGTTTCAAAAAAAAGAGATTAAAAGAACAGACTTCACTTCTAAACTGGATTAAAATTAAACGCTGCTGTTTCTCCCTTCAGCGGCTGAAATTAATTTTTCCGTGATTTTCTGAAAGATGTTACAGCAATAATACTGCACCAGCATAATTTGATCACAAATAATTCTATTGGTTGTTATTGTTTACAAAAATATTGGATTTATCTCAAAATTGTGCAAAGCACAATTCTGAGCCCGATTGATTCCCATTGATGTATAGGGAAATACCCGCTTGTTACTGAATTTTAGATAAAAAAATTTAACTTGAAGTTTTGGTGTGTATTGTCAGGATGCCAACATCGTGTTGTATGCTATATGTTTAATAAAAAATATTGTCTGATGGAACGAAGGACACAACTACTAGAGAAGGTATATATCCTTTGAGGAACATGTAAAGAATGCTAAAAGCCCTTTAATACAAAATGTAAGAATACGGGAGGAGACACAGAAGCGGTATGTTGACAGGCCATGGAATATCAAATTTAGCTGGTTTGAGTGGAATCAAGATAACTGCCAGAGCTAGGCTCTAGTGTAAATTTCTCAATTGGTGGTGATTTTCTGTAAGTTACAAATATAATGGAGTGATTCAGGTTGAACATGTTAGTGTTTGAACATTTTCTCATAGGATGTATGTACTCATAATTCCTGTGGACAATGCACAGAAAGAAAACTTTATTTTTATATTCTATGAAAAGTATTTTTTGCATTATTGATATGATGTGTTTTTGACCTGCAGTGACTATTTGAGTTGACTCTCAATTGCTGTATATATACTCATCTATTTGGGTTATTAGTAGCTTAATTCATCACCTTTTGATTTTAAAAAATCCTACAGTATTTTAAATTCTAATATTAGCACCATGAGTAATAAGAAATTAGTTCCGACCACCCTCTACTCAAGTCAGCAAAAGCAAAGGAAAGAAAGTTCATAAACCCCAAACCAGGTCAACCAATCCAGTGCAACAGAAGACTAAGGACGATGAGGAACCGTGTAGTGTTTACCAAATCCAGATAGATTTTCAAGATATTAAATTAACCCCGAAATTTACTGTGACAATGGAAAACATCATGCTTATTGGTTGCAAGAAAGAAATTAGGTGGGATGGTGTCAGGCAGTGTGTATCAGTTGTTTACCAAAATGAAAATAGAGTTGAAATGAGAACTAAAGCAACAAATAAAATATAGGATGTCAGAAATGCGATAAAAGATAATGGAATCTTTAGTGTCTGAAAATGAACAATTGACAGAAAAATTAGAACATTTTCAAAAACGGAGAATGAATTCGTAAGAACTTAAAACCACAGCACTTAGGGCAAGCAAGTTAATGCAGAAATCAAATCAAAATGAGCAATAATCTAGAAAAACCAATGTGAAAGTATTTAAAATGTAGGAGACTCAAAGTCAACAATTGAAGACCGAAATGATTCAGTTAGTCAAGAAAATTACATATAAAGACATAGATTACAGATATACTCACCATTTATAGAATTTCCGGACCCACGGGATTACCAAGACCAGTAATTGTAAAATTTATTAATTCTGAGGCTAAAACAACAATCACAAAAGACTAAACAAAATTGAAAACAAATATTACCTAAGAACAACTGAAGATGTAGCCCAACAAAACATGGTCGCTTAACAGGTTCTCTAAGAATTTAAAGATAAAATCTGCCTGGAACTCTGATTGCCGGATCTATGCCAAGACAGGAAAAAATCACGGAAAAAGATTCTCTAAGAATTCAAAGATAAAATCTGCCTGGAACTCTAATTGCTGGGTCTATGCCAAGATGAGAAAAAAATCACGGAGAAAATTCTCTAAGAATTCAAAGATAAAATCTGCCTGGAACTCTAATTGCAAGGTCAATGCCAAGAGAAGAAAAAATCACGGAGAAGATTCAGATTTGACATTTTTAAAATGACACTGATGCTGTGACAAATTCCAAATTCAATGGTATCATTAGACTTTTTTCTCTTCTCCACCTTTCAACATGTTCAAGGAATCGTAATCTTTCTAGAATAATTGCAGTTGCATCAGTTAATAATTGAAAGGAAAATTTCCATTGGTCAGAACAGAATCATGTGATCAGACCCAATTGTATTTATGTCTGTATAGACTGTGCAGAGGTGAATTTAAATCTCTTGCTAAATGGATATAGGGATTATAAAAAGGGGTTCAACGACTAATATTATAACAACTGCATTCACATTCCTACAACATAAAACGTCGACCTTTATATTTACCATGTTGGGGTGGGTGGAAGACCAGCTACATCAATAACGTCGTAACTGTCATGATCGATGTTTTGTATTGTTTGACTATTGGTCCCCCATCACTAGAACCATTTACTGATAGTATTAATTTCATTTCTAAGCACACACACACACACACACACACACACACACACACACAAACACACACGGACCATTGTAGGTAGACTAAACTGTTAATCGGCACGAAAATAAATTTAAAGACGCCAAAATTCGTAACTCAACTTTCTGGACAAAAACTATTTGGCCAAGTCAAAATGAACAGTTGATTTAATTAAAACCAAGAGGCATTTGTATGTCCAACTAAACAAGGCATCATTTGCTTTGAATATTGAAATTATACTCGGACCACATATGCCTATTTAGATAAAAGTTTCAATCCATGCTGTGGAATGTTGTAAACCTTAGATCGCCGACCATTGGCAGAATACTTTGTTTGATATTGACCTAGCTATTACGTAGCAGATGAAGAATCTCATATTACATAAATAGCTACGAAGCAGACCCCTCAACGTTAATTCATGCGATTAAACAGGCTCTAAAATTGATCGGAAGTTTTATTAAAAACTCCCGCAAAAATAAAAATTTATAAAAATAAAAATATAAATAATTTCAGTTATTATAGTTAAATTTTATTCGGGCGTTATTATTATTATTTTTTTGTTTGATTCGGCAACTGACACTTTATACCACGATAAAGTAAGAACAAAACATTAAACTTTTAATTATTCCGTATTTTGTGATGATTGTGCTGTGGTTTTTATATAACCTTTTATACCTTGTGCAAACGACGTTTCGTCCTTATTATTATAAATATCATGAAATGTCTTAAAGTATCAAAATAAATATAAAAACTGTTGGTATGACTGAAACATAAACATCATTGGATATAAATGTAACAACAACATATTCAAACAAGATATGCAATAATAGACCAGCACCGATGATTCAGTTTTACTTTTCACTTATTTTTAAAATATTTTTCTCATTGTCTCATTCATTTAAATAAACAAAATGTTAGCTTGTGCTTGAATTTCAAATTATTATTCATGCTGGGGGAGGGAGAGGTAGATCACAATATTGCTCAGATGATTGCTTTAACATCTACTCTTTGTGCAAGTAAATGTTTTCATTTTGTTAGTCTTGGTGATTTAACTTGTAACTAGAAAATATCAGTAGTAGTTCACCTGTGACTGTGTAATTCGAGTAGTATTACTAAGTATTTAATTGCCTTAATTTCACTCTACTAACTCAAAGGTGGTTGGTTTGACGGCTACAACAGTAACACAGCTCAACATTCAATAACACCTTATAAGGCTTAACGAAATATGATGATGGGTAA